CACAATGGTAGTGCTGTCGCAAAGCACTCATATTAGACACCAGGTGTCCTCTTTCATAACCTGAAAACCATAGATCTCTAGTGTTTCTTCTTCAAAAATGATTCAAAAAACATTCACGGTATTTATATTTTGAAATGGATAGTAGATGTTGACGATGATCGAGTTTGTTTAGTGAGTTCGAACGGTATGACTGATGTTTCTGAATGCTGAAAATAGCGTAGATAAGTATTCACAATAAAATGAAGTCTAATTTGACTAGCATGATCCTTATCTCTTTCTTTAGGTCAGCTTGATAAAATCAAAAGTTTTCTCCAGTAAGCTTGGTTTTACGCATCCATGTTTTACACATCTATGTTTTACGCATCCATCGGATTTTCACATTTGAATCTAAAGGATCTACGTTAATAAGTTTTTTTATTCAAAGTAATGAGACAGAGTAATCTGATAAAAGAAAAATACTTACATAAATATATATATAAGAATAAAAATTTGTAGAATGAAAGTAATACATCAAAATAAAATATATTCTGTGATATTTTGTCCTTTGAAGTAGATATGAAGAAAGGTATTGTATATAAAAAATAAAAATAGCAGAAAAATTTGTGCACAATTCCAAAATAATTTTAATTTATGATCAATAACCAAAAATTAGTAAAGAATAGAACACAAATAATTTAATGAGATTGCTTGAAATTTAAATATTATTGGAAAAATGAGAAAAATTGATCTCTTTTTTCATAAGGAACAGACTGCCTTTGATAGAAAAAGACAATTTATATAAAATTAAATTTGAAGACAATATCACCAGGATTACAGGAGCATCAATGAATGCTGTTTATCGATGCTCAAGCTAATTAAGAACATTATAGTTTATTCTTGTTGTTCTTCTTTCTTCGCAGATTTTGGTTTTTCATCAATGACCTGAGATCCTTTTTCGTTATGTCTTGATGAATCTTGTCGAGCGGTTGCTGATTGACTAGAGTTTGGCTAAATGAATATAAAACTTATTTAAATAAAACATACAAAAGTGATAGCAACTGAAAAAGTGTACGAGGATTATGACATGCATGAATCAGATGCGAATCGATTAATTTTTGGTCACATAAAAAGTATTCAAAAAAAACTCTGTGTGAACTTGAAAAATAATGTTTAAGATAGAAACTGGTTGATATATGTGGCAATAAGTGTGTGTTCAATAAAATGGACTGTTGGAAACGAGTCAAAGTGCATAATATAGTATACAAAATATATGAACGAAAGTATTTTAATATAAAATTCATCATTGTAATTTTATCATAGTTAGAGTCGATGTTAGTTCATACCTTTGGACGTTCATACCAATCTGCATCGTATTTTGATATATTATTAGCATAATTCATATTTTGTGACCAATTACGCTCCCATTTTTCGCGATTTGTGTCTGCTTTTCGATTTCTGATACGTTTAATCATAGTCGAATTTTCTTTTGAAACACGCAATAATTCTCGCCGCCGTTTTTCATGATTTAGACTAAAAGCGTGTGTGTGTGTATGTGAATCATGCAGCTTCTATTTTAGTGCACACATGTAATCCTACTGAAACTTTATCACGTTTGCAATGTATGTCATAATTACCATTAGACCGACAAATTGAAGTTAGATCGATTGAACTTTTGAATGAGTCTATCTGCACTAGAGATGTGCACACATCTCTAATCTACGCCAGTTTATCTCTGAAAATTTTTTAGTTTTACAATGCTTTTTTTGTGAAATATAAATCAAGAGATAAAGAATACTAGGGAAAACGTTGTTTTTTGAATTCCGATTATTACATTTCATAAATCAAAATTTCTTAGTTCAGAGTAACTTTTTTCTTATTCATATCTTCTCCGTACTAGTCTTAGTATCTCCATTTTACCGATTCCTGCGAGTTCTGAGAGATAGTACAAATTTGGAACTTGGAGAATAATCTCGACTTATCTTATGAACTCATCCTTGGAAAACCAATCCTCCAAACGTTTTTGGTTATCTTACTTTTAATTTTTAATTTTCACCTGAAGAAAAGAGAATATGAGTTTAACTTTGGCTGATGTTAGCTAGTTAGTTTAAACTTCATTCAAAATACCAAAGAGTGTACAGTCGACAACTGACTTGCTATTATAGACGCAGATATGTCAATGAAAACAAGTCATACCTAAAGATTGACTATTTGATTCAACGGATCAAATTTGGAGTCGTTATGACACATGTGCTTTGTTCAAACGTTTTTGGCCATATTATTTTCCACTGATGATCTTACTTAATTGGAATTTTACACTATGCGATGCCTTAGACTGCAAACGTGGTAAAGTATCAATGGAGGTACCTCATGCAAGATTCTTTAGCAGGCAGCAAGCTACAACGTATATTTTACCTTTTGGAATCGTAATCATTTCTATTTTCTACTCGACCAGTCGTACGCATGATTGTCGACATTTTTTCTAATAGTATTCGATTATCACGTTCTACGGTTGCCAGTCGTTCTTCCTCCAACTAAAATTGATCAAGGCTACATACACAGTATGAGATAAAATGTGTGCTAGTAGGTACCTTTCCAAAAAAATACTGATATACAAGCTCAATATGGTAGAGTCCTGCACGGATATTGCGGCGCTCTTAGGTGCAAAATTCGTTCGTTTGTGAGTTTTCAAATTAAAATTTCTTTTCATTTGATAGAAGAAAGTTTAGTGTTTGTAGCTGAATAAGACGTTTGCACCCTTATCAAACACAAAGAAATGATACTTTATATGAATTGGTATCACAGTGCAGAGTTTGTTCTGTTTATCTTATGTATGTGTAGTACAGTCAAAAAGTTGTAGAATATTCATTAAATAGAGAGAATCTTTCACTAAAATAGTTACGAAATTTTAGATTTAAAAGAACATTTATTTATTTGTCTACCAACTAAACGTTTCCTTTTAATCAAAATATCATAATAAGTGTCGTGAGATAATGTACCTGTAACTTTTTTAATTTCATATGTAAATGCATATAAGTTCTAGGCGGACGACTATCAATCATTGGTCGAGCATCACGAACCTAAGTTTATTTAAAACTAAAGACCGTCAACATTCAAAATAAATAGTACATGAATGTACCAATAGACGGTGTTCCGAATAATACTTGTCGTCCCATTTTTTCTTAAGAAGACGATTTGATGATGGAGTAACAGGTTGATAGGCTTTGTGCATTTTTACTTGTACTAATCTAAAATTTAAAAAACCATCTATCTTTTCGGAAAAAATAAAACATAAATAAGAAAATTATTATTTTTCGAAAAAGATAGTTTTGTAATGAAACTATACAGTAGATAAATTTGAGCTTTTAACCTCTACCAGTATTTATGTTCTATTACAACAGTATACAAAAAAATTATAGTACAAAACACACACTCATGTATATATTCTGTAAAACAAATATCAAATGTCTACATTATAAAAGTACAGAAGAGAAATTTCATAGAGAAAAACATTTAATGGACAAATAACTAGAAAACTTTAAATGTAAAGTTCGTATGCACATACACGAGAGAAAGTTTTAGTGGATGTAGTCGTTTAAAAGTTTTCAACAATAAAATATTTGACAAACTAGTTGATTCTAATCTTATTGATCTTGTCAAATCGTATCACCGATGAGTATATAACGCTATACAAGTCAGATAGCAATTCGTAGGATTGATCATTTTTCTAGATTTTCAGTTTTGAATGAGAATGAGTACCAGATAAGGTATTCTGTTGTTGATAACCAGAAGTTTGTTTTTTTGTTGCTAAAAATTGGACATATTCATTCGACTAGGCCGTTGTTTCATTTGCTGAAGATAGTTCTTCGAACTGTAGATAATGAAAACGTGACGACTGAGCAGTAACCATTATTCGAACAGCTGCGAACCCAAATATCGCTTCCAATACTAAAAATGTCAGATAAAGTACTTCGATAGCAAGTATCAGAGCCATAAAAATGTTTAATGTTGCGATAACTTGATACAAAAGTAGAAATAGTGTCAGTGGTACTTGAAAAATAACTGTTAATAGACAAAATGCTGTTAATTCAGGCATTTGTTCACCTAGATTTCCAGAATAACCCAAATATAATCGAACAACTTCGATAATAGCTTTGAATATGAAAGCAAATACCATTAGGATAACATGTTGACTATTACCGGCGATGGTTAGTACAGGCAGTATAAATATATGTGAAAATAACCAACATAGGAAAAAACAGAGATTAAAGTATATCAATATTTGAAATGGAAGACTTGAAGCATAATCAACTTCGAGGCGTTGATGAGAATCCAAATAATTATGGGTAGGAGGCTGTGAATCATATTTTGTAGGTGTGAACATAGTGTTAGCAAAGCGATTTAATCGATCATTAATCGATTGAGGTAGTTTGGGTGGACGACGGAGCATTCTATACAAGGCCAAACCGTTGTTTGAATGGAAAAATCTGTGGTATGTTTTTGTTTTGTTTAACTACTATTATCCACCATTATCGACTTTCTTTCTCATCCGTAACGGTGACTAGCCTCTTTAACTTCTTTCTTTTTACAGCTCAAATTGTATATAAACGGCGCCTTCTTAGACAAAATAATATATATTGAAATACGAAAATTATTTAATTGAGACCATGCTGATCTTGATTTCTGGTAAAAAGAGAATATAAGCTATATAGCAATAAAAATATCGTAATGAGATATCGTTCCAACTACCTTTTGCTAAAATTTCAGACCCGCGACATCCCAAGTCGACTGAAACAGCTAATGTACACATTTTGAATGTTTGATAGACGTTTGAAACGCATGCGTGTGGAAGGAGTCGTTTCGAGGGCATACGTTGTGTCTAGAATACGTACAAAATACGCGTGAAACACCTTCATGAAAGAAGCCTCTTTTTAAGCGTTCATTGGACATGCGTCAACCAACGATCCGATCAATTACTATGTTTTTAGCAATATTGCTGTCACTCACTCACGTGTGTGAACAGGTTTTTCATTATTTTCACCGGTTATAGTGTCTGAAGACTGGATACAAGATCAATTGTATGCAAATACTTATGTATTTTATACCGCTACATATAGTTCTGGGGTTTGATGGCATCCTGGGGGTCGTATCACGAAAAAACTTAAGTGAAAGTCTAAAATTAAGTCAGACTTAAGTTTTTTTGTGATACAGCCCCTCTGAATAGGACTATAGAACAGCGTTTCTAATGATTGGTGATCCAAGTGTGAGCAAAGTGATCTTTCACTTTGAAATGCGATTTCCACTCTTTTTTAGCAGGGAAAACATGCAAAATGCAGTGATAAACTGTGGAAAATTACTTTGTTTAAGATTCTCATTAGAAACGCTGCTGTAGAAAGAAATTCCTAGACTTCGTAGTGCGAGCAGAGAAGCTGTGTAAATTTGTATGTACTAGTCCTTTAACACCATACTTAGTGAGAATAACGAAAAACATTATTCACATAGGCGAGTGACAGAAACATTGCTATGTAATTGTGATTCAATTACGAAATGCTGTTGCTTCCGTTGCTTATACGAATAAAAGTCAAGATTATCAGCGATCGAACTTTCCCCTAGTTCGCGGAGACGTTTATCAAAAGTTTTAACTTTGTCTATGAGGATATTCTTGAAGACTAAAAAAAACGGACGTTCTAACCGTTTCAGCTCTCTCTCAATCTGACACTTAAAACGTAAGGTTGAATCAATCTTTGATCTTGGTATACACATCGTCTCTAGTAACCATTTGACACATAACAAAAACGATATGTAGAGGTATCCTCAACTCAAAGAGTGTTTTTTTCTAAATGGAAGAGTTAACTCTGTTCTAGCGAAAACACACTGTTAAAAGAAAAGTGTATGAATGACACACTGAAAGTGAGCACCTGGCGATTTCTAGTGACTATCTAGAATGTATGTTGTAGATGTGTATAATAGACACTGAGAAGTGACCATAAGGCTTTACACACTGAGACCAATGATACAGTCTTGTTGTGTAAACCAACTGTGCTGAAAATTACCCTAATAACTTCTGGTTTTTGTTTGTACTTTAAAATACTCGGTACCCGCTTCTGCTGACGAAGAAGGAACAATTATATAAAATATAAATAAAATTATAAATTATATGAATTTCGTCGTTGGAATGAACAGTTTGTTAGATTTTATCATAGATGAGTACAAAATACAAATCTCTTGAGAACTAGTATGAGCAGAGAAATCATCTTTTGATATTTTTAGATTGCTAAATTTTTCAATTCGACATTTTTCTTCATATTAAGCAGTATTTTTCAACTGTATGACTGACGTAGATTACATAGCACCTTTGTAAACTCTGAACTTCAGAAGCTTTTATTTCAGGTATACCGATAAAGAAACATTTTCTTTTTTGTCATAATTGAACAACATTCTCTTTTATTTATAAGTTGAATTGATATAATTCCGCTTATTCTTCATTTTCTATATTGCATAGAAATCTCTCTTATTTTAAATTGCAAAAAAAGCACAAACAAAATTGAAAGAAAATAGCGATAACAAAAACGAAGAGAAAGCTCGTTTTTTTACATAGGTCGAAACAGAAAAGGATAAATAGAAAAACATTAACTAGAATGAGAGAACGAAATAAACCAGAAATAGTACACATACATTGCACATGTTCAATATGTCATTGACTGAACAAAATAAAATAGAAAAAAAAGAATTTAAAAGTGTTAAGATACCTCATGTTTGTTGACGAATCAGTTCGCGATGGACTTTAGTGTGGATGATAATTTCCACAAAATACAATCATTCAAAATGGCGCAATATTAAAAGAAACTGACATGATAAATTCTGATGATAAAGAGTCTACCTAAATATTTGATCGTTTGTTTTAAACTAAGAGAGAAACAAACACATAATGAGAATAAAAAACTTGACCAGATTGTACACTGTGGTATGTGTCGACAAGCAAGTTATAAAGCTAACTTTATAGTTTCAAGGAATAATTAATTTTCATTTTTTAATACAACAAATGTACACAATAAATATTGCGCACAACAGAAAAAAAGTAGTATTGACCTATCGTATGTGATTGAAAACATACAGAAATAATTGAGTGAAAGAATAAAAAATACCGAGAATTAAACAATGTACAATTACGTATTAAAATACACACAATTATCCAAAAATAAATAGATAGAAGAAAATAGTGAGAAAATTGCATCAGAAATAAAATCAACTACAAAATACTTGTATTCAATTATCATAATTAAACAGACAATTATAAATGAATAATGGTTATTTGATGCACTGACTCGTTTCTTCAACCTAAAATGATAAGTGAAACAAGTAAATATAGCGTTATAAGGAAAAGTTAATTCATAATGTTTAACATAGACTATGTTTTTTAATAAGAAATCAATAAATTTATATAAAGCAAAAGAACGGATCAAAAGTTTATTTGTGATTAACTTAGATCAATTCATGTGTACACAAGCCTTTTTTTTCAATCTCTTATTGATACAATACTAATAATTGCCAACGTTGTACTCTTCGAATTGTTACGCTGGGACCGAAAATAGTACAACCAGCTTAAATTAAATTGAAAAACAGCTCTCTCTCTCTCTCTCACACACACACACACATAACGGCTGTCATAATTAATACACATAAAACAGATATCGATACATCGTCAGTTATCATCGATGTACAGTGTACAACAACACAATTACGCTCTATAAGTAATAAGATCTCAAAATTAATATTGATCAATACGACAACAACATAAGTAAATACTATCCAAATCTACTTTAAGCATATTCTTACGTGCAATCTTTGAATAATTCCATTATAAGTCGTTGAATTCAAATCTTTTTCTTGCACACCTTGCAGTTCAAAGTTTCCATGGGTTTTCTGAAAAAGAAACAAAATACAATATATTACCAGCTAAAATATCATTTTTACTTACTTTAACAAATAATACTAAACAAGCCAATTGATATGGATGAAGGCTGATTTCTGTTCGTTCGCCTAACCACGTCCAAACGAGATGCATTTGTTGACGATACCATTCCTAATAGAAGAGAGAAGAAAAATGAAATGAAGCTGATCTAATATCCACAATTAATAAAGCTTTTTTATACTTCAAACAAATTTAATGTGAATAATTCATCACTAATTTTTTGTCTTAATTGTTCAAGATTTGTATTGACAAATGCAACATATGCTTGACCAACTTCATTCACTGGTTTCTAAGAAAAACAAAAGATAAATTTTCACAACAAGATCAAGAAACATATCAGATGAAGACCATCGTAACAACGAAAAACAGCTAGAAGGTTCTTTTATTGCTAGAGTAACTGTAATCACGAAAGATCACATAAGATTTTCTACTAAATGCAGATCATTTTCCTTCCAAACACCTTTTTCTCAAGAGAGAAAACATTAACATGAAGTGAAATACAACAGGCTATTTTAAAATATTGACTGTTTTCTTTTTTGTAATAGATTACATGCAGATGAACATCTAGTTGAACAGCCGTCGACGTGACTGCTTTAGGTATGAGCGACAGAACGCTGACGAAATTGTTGTGATATTCCAAAGTTTAGTGGATGAAAAAAACTTTCTAGACGCCGTTATAGATCTTTTTTGCTTAAAAGAAAGCATCTTTTTATATGTCTTCTGGCAAAAATGATGATTGTTAAAAAAATCGAAAGTGTTGGCAAATCTAGAATTCATAGAAAAACAACACAAGAAATGAGTGAAAACTTACAGTTAACGATAGAATTGGAGCAAAAAATGATCCTTCATCGTAACGCGATAATTTTTTTAATACTGAATCCATTACGGCAATTAATTTCAAAATTAATGATTTTGACATTTCACTAAGGATTTTTTCTAGATATTCATCGATTTTTGTATGATACTGATGTAAATCTCCACTATTTAATGCACATAACTTTAGCGCCTATAGAAAAGTAGATAAACATTCTAACTATTAGTATTATAGACTACTCAAATAGGATCTTACTTGTGATTTGCAATCGAGAATAACATTAATCATCACACAACATTCACTCGGTAGTAAATAATCTGTTCCGGTGCCTCCCATAAGACCACCTTTTTTAATCCATACTTCAAAATGACGACATACACTAAAAATAATACGTTGACTAAATTTTTCATGACATTGATAATAGAGATTTAGTTACCGTTTAGCACACGCTTCAATCATATCGGATGCCATTTGCTTTAAACGTTTTTCAAGATGTTCTCCGAATATTTCATCAGGCTAACAAGAAAAGAAACGTCAAATCAATCTAATAAAGTAAGAGAATTAAAAAAGTTATTTAACACAAACCCAGTGCAAGTCTCGTATAAAACACTGTAATGCATCTAATTTCCACAGCATATCTTCACTGGTTGCACACCCACGGCTAAAAATTCATTAGATACGGATTCATGCATATACTACAACTACTTTTATTTCATAGAACCAAGTTCAATATGAGTCAAAAAGCTTTCACATACGTTCTCGATTTCCAATTTTCTTTTTCAAATCCTTTGTGGATCGATTGAGCAATACATGATTCCATTAAATCAACATAACGAACGACTAATGGTGCAAACGTATCTCGTAGTTGTTGATGAAAACGACCGTTTCCTAGTGTTTCTTAAAACGAGAGAACGTTTGAATTAGTTTAAATCATTCATATCAAACAAGTCTTACCATGATTTCTTAGATAATCATTTAGTAATTGAAATAATGGGAAACTATCCCAGCTTTCGACTGGTTGTTGATCAATAACATGTTCCATATCAACAGCAAACAACGACCAAAATATTTCTTCATGTTCAATTAATAAATCTTGATATTGTTTGAATGCTTCATTATAATGTTCCTCATCTTGTTGCAACAATTCAATACATAATTCAGCTAAATGAATTAAATCGTCGATTTTCTTACGAGGTGAATCATCACTATTGTATACGGTTTCTACAAAAATAAAAAAGCAAAAAAAAAGAACCATAACATTATTGTAGCTAGTAATATGATGATAAGAAAGAGTATGCAAAGCTTCGGATCGTCTTTCATATCTGAACCATATGATCAACTTATGGTAGAATATGTTAAGTTATCTTGTGCGAACAATGACTTTTAGAAAAATACAATAGCTACACTGATACACAAAAACAACATTGCGAGACAATAAGCTACTAGCGCCATATTAAGACAGATTAGAACGGTAATAACAAATAGAAAAAATTTAAAATTATATTTTAAAAATGAATGTATTAGACAAAAGCAAAACACTATTCTTGCTGAATTATTGAAAAAATTGCGCTAATACGTTCAAACAATCAATTTTGTGTCATACACTTGAAAAACTTCTTGATTTGAACCCGAGATACAATGGATAAAGAAAGTGATTGGCAATAGGGTATTGATTTAGATGATTCTAAAACATAATTTTTACTTTTTCGTAAAAACTAAATGCCGAGTAACATAGATCTTTTACAAGTGAATTCTCTTTCAACAAATCGAAATAAACGAATTCCAAAACAAAATAAAGCAAGGCAAAAATAATAATAATATACACACAAACGACTGTGTAAAACGTATATAGTACAAAATCGAATTTACCATTTTCCGCTTGAAGCTGTGCTTCGCGTTCTCCTTAAAAGAACCATAGAAAAAAAAACAATTGGTGTTTTATTATAAGAAAAAAATAGCACGCATAATACACTGAATACTTTTATAACATTAACTTAAGCTCTAAAATCGAAATATTTTCGATATGTAATAAACTATGAACAATAGAGAAGATTTATTCACTATCAAGAACTGTCATTCTTCGTTCAAAATTTAGCAAAGATAAATCTAATATCACAAATTTTATAGTAGAATAAATTTTCTCCCTGGTGAAGTTTTTTTATGAAATGTGGACAAAGTATGGTTTCTGTTATTCAGTGAGAGTAAAAACATCGGTTTTAGTGAACACGTTATCATATATTCACGTATTGAGAAAGAACAACCATTACAACATGATATATTACAGCAGCATTTTAGCATTAGCAAGTAGTGCGATGGCAATTCAGCGATCTATATATTAGTCGTAACGAAAGAATGTAAAGAAACTATATAAGATATAACTACATGTTATCTCTGAATTAGACATGCACCAAATTAACTATGCTTTTTTCTTGAAACGTGGCCCATTGCTGCTTGGGTATCATAGCAAAAGATATATTAAAAAAGTCAAGCAAAAAAAACAAAATATTATTTTTTTATGTCTTTACGTCCCACACAATTGCTTATGTTAACTGAGAATTCTTCTATTGAAATACACTTGAAATGTTCTGAAATTTGACTCACACTCACACATTCTCAGCTTTGACCATAATTCGCAGAATTATTCTGGAAGTGTAGAAATAAATTTTTTTATGTCACGGGCAAGAATTGTAGAATTAATCATCGAGGACGATCAAGGCTGATACAGAATTCTAGAAATTTTGACTTAAACTCTTAAACAATTTCGAAAATTTGATGTTGTTCAATGTCCATTTCTACAGTTCTTGCCCTTAGTACAAAAAACTGATCTCATGCTTAATATACACACTTCTTCAATTATTTAGAATTTAGGATCTAATTAGCGCTATATAAAATCTACAATTTTGTATAGTTTGTTTGCTATGCCACCCAAACGGTATTGAAGACCACTACTGTTATTCTTTGACAACAATAATAAATTTCTGAATAAAATTTATTTATAATTGGCATGAGAGAAATGATTTAATTAATTTTTGTAGAACTCATTTAACAAATTGAAAAATTCGATTTTCTTCATCAAAAGGCTCAGTGCATGCCTAGTCCGAAACAAACATTAAAAAAAACAAGAATTTTATTCTATTTTTGCATTTAAACTAATAAAATTACCTTCTATTTTTGCATGTTCTGACACTTTTGTATAATTAATATATGCTGCATTCTCAAGACATTTTCCAATAAAATGTCTTATCTCTTCGCGTGATATTGGCGTTGAAATATCTTTGGCTAATACACGTTCTAATAAACTAAGCGTTGCTTTTAAAGCACCGTCTGGTCGTCCAAATGGAAATGCAAAACTTAAAATACAAAAAATAATTAATATCGTCTTTATTATATTTGACTCCAGTATAAATGCATACCGAAAATTTGTTACTTGTTGTTCGAGAAATTGTCTTAAACGTTCTTTAATTTCATTGAATCGATCTTTTTCTTCCATACTTATTGTAGTGGCAATGTTACTGTCTGGTCTGCAGCAAAAATCGAAGTTTGCTTCTTCTATTAACTTTATATTCATTTCATCTTTGACTAACCTATTTCCCGATACATGCGATGCACAATAAACATAACTGTAGTGTAATAATTGTGGATCAATCATAAAATTTTGTTCAGCTCGATCAAGTAAATCTGACAGATAATATAAATGTCTCAGACAGTGGCGTACACCATAGCGAGCACAATATTCTTCTAATACATAGGATTGACCAGGGCTTAACCATCCCTATAGTTGAAAAATTGAGAAAATTCATGATAAAAATATATTTTTAAGTAGCAAGGCTTAAGCAGCAGCAATAGCGATTGTGCGGAATACGTACACATCCAAGTTATAAAGTACTATGTATGACAGAACAGAATTTTATAACTTATAACAACACATTTCATATAAATGAGAGAAATATTCAGTATACTTTATAAAAGTCATGCAAATGTTATGGGCAACTCTCAAATGTAGGCGGATTTCAAATTTTTGGTAAAAACATGAATTGTACTATAAAAAAATCGGTTCAAAACCTATTACATTCAGACACTTAAACAATATTTTCGAGGCCACCAGATCCATGAAAGTGGGTCATAAAAGCAGATTTCGGTGTGAATGTATGTAAAATAATTTTCTAAAAACTGGTATTTCAGTTTTCTTCTACTTTTGTAATTCACTCTTAAATTGAAAACTTACCAAGGAACAATACGGATCATTAAGTCGAAAGTCCAATGTGGATGTTTGTAAAAATTTAAATAAATCATGGTGATCAAATTTACACGGATCAGATTGTATGTATTCATCGAAACCCAGTTTTTTCGAACGATCAGAATCTAAAAACCATATAATATAGAACACAATATTAGAATCTGTTTTTGATAATGATGTTCATTGAAAAGAAACAAAGCAGAATATCTTAGATAATATTTCTAAACATGCTTACACGGCATATACCATGCAGAAAAAAACTATTTCGTGCATAATATCGTCTACAGCTAACATTCGTTTGTTGCTCTCAATTTAAAAAATAATTTTAAATATTATTTATTATTTCAAGCAAAAAAAAAAAAGCTATATGCTTTGTTTTTTGTCTCACACTCAATTTCTTACGCTGATATGAAGGAATCATTTTGAACAAACTTCGAAAATAGTTTGCACGTTCCGTCAAGTCATACGAATGACAACGTACAACAATATTGCCTACAGACACATAAGTGAGAGGAAATATGAACACATAATAATTGAAATTAAGAAAAAGTAAAACTTTTTTTATTTTTCTCAACTGCTAAGGGTAGTTCATGTACATTCGAAATATTTTCACGACATTTGACTTATTAGCCACTCCTTGTACTACTAAACATCCATACTAAAATTTTAGACAAAAAATTGAAAACAACAAGAATTTTACACGATGACTTACCCGCTACATCTTTATTAATAACTTGTCCACTTGCTTGTTGTTGTTTTGTTGTTGGTGGTGTAGGTTTATGAGATTGGCCCGTAGCACGATAAAGAGCTGTTCATTAATTAAAAAAAAAAGATATTAAATATCAAACTTAGAGTTAAGAAAAATAAAACTTACCTTGCACCCATCCATGTCTTTCATTTTCTTCATTTGTTGCAAATGTTACAACATCTCCTTCACGGACAGCCTTGAAAAAATATTTAGCATCATCCATAATAAGACCTATAGAAATGAAATGAAAAGAGTTTAAACAAGAATTTAAATACATTAAATTCTATTACCTTGGTCTGGCTCTGCATAATCAACCGTATAACCTTCTAACGGCATCATTTCTGTTGGTTCAGATTTCTTTTCACGATAACTGCACGTAGCAAAACAATATTGAGATACCTTTAACAAATAACAACCGTTAGTATAAACCGATACTCAATTCTATTTAGTCTTTCAGCATACTTGAACTAAAGCATAGTATCGCTTCTTCCAACTTTTCCAAACATTTTTGCCACGAGCATAGCACCAACTTAAAACAAATATGAGTATTAGTATAAAATATGTTTTTCTTTTGACAATTAACTTACCCACACATTTTTAAATTTTGTGGTTTCTCCATTCGAACATCTAATTTTACTTTCAAATCATCGGCGGCTGTACTCTTGTTTTTAACCATATCTGCCCACCAATTTGTTTTATTAAATGTTGGATCAATCTGTAACGTTGCCTAATATCAATAGAAAAAAATAATATAAATTTAGATTTGTTTCTTAAACTTCAAATTCACGAGATCAACTATTTTACAAGAAAAAACTCAAACCGATACAGTTGGAAAGAGGCAAAAGAATGTATCTTGCATACTTTTCCTAATTTATTATCTTCAAGATGTAATATACTGGAATTTTCCATATATAGTTTGACTTTAACAACGGGCAATATTTGATTTGTAGGAAATTCTGCTAATGATTCCCAAACGGGTTTACATGCTTCAGCATGTTCTGTCCGATAAGTCTCACCACCTTCAACATTCATTGTACAATAAACAACTCGATTGGATGGAACAGATTTTAATCCTTTTACTTCTTTAACTGTTATATTTATATTGAAATTTAACACAAACGCTAATTTTGATAGACCGGGTTCAGCTTCCGAATCACCACCATCGACTAATAACGATTTATTGGAAGATGGATGTGCATTACTTGAACTACTACCACCCCCACCACCAGCATTAGCATTAGCACTACTACCAGCACTTCCATTTCGACCGTGCACACCTCGCTTTGATCTCAATGGTTTCTGTTCACCACCACGTACAGGTAAACTTTCCAAATTACTCATTAAATCGTTAATTGTTTTTTTTAGTTCATCGACATATAAACTATCCATTTCTTTGTGAACGAAGCGTGGCATTAGACCGCGTTGCTAAAATTTAAAGAAATAATTCTCAAGCCTTTATACTTTGTCCAGATAAGAAGTAAATACGCAATATCTTTTAGAACAGCAATATGGGATATTTTCGCTAATACAAATTGTAAAATAGATAAGCCTTTTTTTTTGTACGGTTCGAAGAACCGAGATTAAGACATTATTTTATATTCATGCTATAACGACTCAGAGTATAAAGTTCATGCTTGCAAGATATTAATGAAATAAATCTAATATAATTGATCTTAAGCTAAGAAACTTAGCAAAAAAGCAAAGATAACCTTTTTTGTTTTTTGGCATAGATCATTTAATAAATCCTAAAGAATCACAAATCAAATTGGGTATAAAGTTCAATGAAAAGAATTTCATTACCCTTTGCAAAGATTCGGCTTGTTTCATACGACCATCTAATTCTCGACGAATAGTTGCAGCTTGTTCATCGTTATTATCAAGCTAAAAATAAACATTAAATATTGACGAAATATTATTTTTTTTTTTTAAATCACTTACTTGTGCACTATTATATATCATTTGATGTTCAAATTTTTTAATATTTAATATATTTTGAAACATATCATACAATTGTTCTTTACTCATTATTAATTCAGCTGAACTCGAATTGTAGTTTGTTTTTGATAAACGTCTATTTACACCATCTAGATCTTGATCTTGTCCACGATAAATGGCATCAAATTTATTCATCCACAATGTTACTACTGTATCTTTACTAATTTTTAATGAATCAATATCCGGTAAACTTCGTACACGTTTTTCAATATTTGTTTTGAATACTTCTCGAAAATCATCAGAACAACAACCACCAGATTGTACCATTCTTAATACACGATCACTTTTAAGAAATACTTCATGATAAGATCGAACAGCATTATTAAACGCTAAATAGTAAGAAACAATTGTTATTATTATTATTTTCGAGTATTTAATATCAAAAACATCTTACCTTCATCCGCTTCAATGTGCGTTTTTCCATTTAAAAATGCTTGAAATCTCTCTTTAATATACGTATATTGTTGTTGCGTTATTTTTAAATTTTTTCTAGCCATATCTGATGATTGTTTTGAATTAAATGGACACGATACACATCGACATATAAACACATAGATTTGTATTCGTTTTCGTTTTTGTTCTAGTTCTCTTTCTAATTTTTCATTTTCTTCTCTTTCTCGTTCGCTAATCAACGATGGCGACGGACTCGGTACTCGATCTAACGGTATTCCACTTGATGTTGTCGTTGTACTTGTCGCATTTGATAAATTATTCGATGGTTGAAGTTGTTGTACACGATATTTTGTTGATGAATCAGTACTCTGATGCCTTGTGCTCGATAACGATGAAATGTGTTGTTGTTGATGATCCGATAAACTCGAATCATCACTTTTTAAACTAGTTGTATCGTACGCGGAGGTCAAAGGACCATCATAAGTCTGAGGTTGTTGCAGTGATTGAGTTAATTGAGGTTGATGAAATTTATTCGATAATAGCGGCGATTCTTGTCCACTTAAACTTGGATTCGGAGATGTCCGTTGAATAATAGGCGTATTATAAACGTCTCTAGTTAACGGTTGTGTAAATGAATTCGGTACATTATTAGAAGTCCTCGATAATGTATTGGGTGATGGTGAATTATAATCAACGGTAATTGGTGGTATTATACCTTTTCCGCTTTGATTTCCTGTTAGAACAGGTTGGTTCCGTTGATGAACAACGGGGGAGAGAGGTGCACGACCCGGGATAGTCGATGAAACGGTTGCTGTTGGTCCATCATCTTCATCACTCGATGAATTACGTAGCATATTCTATTTAAATTACAAAAAAAATCGTTACTTTAGCTTCTTCCATCGAAGCACTCTAAAACAATACGATCGTATCATTTTAATGACATTTTTCTCTGCATATGTATATATATATACATATATATTAATTGAACTTCTTTGGGACCATACTTTAAAAACGTTCAGTAGAACGCAAGAGTTTTTTATCCCCACCCTTCCTGTGTCCGACTTTGTCCGGATTTTGGTAACCACTCCCCCTAGTGGACGTCTGACCAGGAGCGAAAAAATCTGACCTCTGCCCGTAATTCTCTAGTTTTCCATCAAAACTCATTTTTTTATACAATAAAAATACCACATTCGGAGTTAGCGTCGAAAACCAATTCGAATGATATATGTTTCGGAATTTTTCGTTGATTTTCATTTTTTGTCAGTAATTTTTCGACGTGAAAATTCGAAAACAAAGGTGGTCGGACAGGGTAAAAAACTTATATCATTCGACTCGGCTTTCAACGTGAACTCTGAATATGGTATTTTTATTGCATAAAAAATGAGTTCGGATAGAAAAAATAGAGAATTACGAACAGAATTCGGATTTTTTCGCTCCTGATTCAGAAAAAATATAGTTCCTCAGGAATAAAACAAATTTTAGAAAAAAGCGATCCAAATACTTCTATTAATATTGAAACAAGATTTGATGGCCAGATAAAAAGATCAAAAAGTAGATCATTTATTCTGCAAAAATACTAAATTTCAGGAATTATCCGGATGTCTAAAATTAATTGTGTCCTCTCCCCCTCTGTCCGATTTCCACGGACACCCTCGGTATCATCTGAGATTGAACGTCCTTAAAGTATCATCCCTTTCGACAAATGAGTTTACATTGGTGCCGACTTTTTACGCTTAATTCTCTAATAATAACAATGTCATCGATGGCGAAGACGATAAAAAAAACGTTCTTATTTATTTTCATCTGTAAATAAAAAAAAGAGCGAAGAACAATTAAATCATTTTTCTTTTATAAGACTATAAGTAAAAAGTAATAATGAGTCTCAAGAAAAATTTTGTCACTTTGGATCATTTCTTAAAACCAATGATGAAGAAAAACACACATAGAATAAACTGAATTAAACGAATAAGGTATACTAATGCATATAGATAAAGTTATTTTAGACACATAATAATGATTCATTCACATAAACATTATCTAGGAAAAAAAATTGTGTAAATTTAGTTTAAGTGTATTGAATTCATATCATAAATGCGTACTGACAATTGCAATTAGAAAATCTTCTATTTCTCATAGTATGATGAATACAAAAGTTATTGAAATCAACAGTCATAATTGTCTAAGAATACAGCTACACAGTTAGTTACATTGTTTATGTTGCATGTCGCCTTTGGATAGAAAAGTGTTTTTTTGATTAGAAAGATAAAAATGATTACTAATTCTTACGTTAATTGAAGTCATCTCGTTCATTCTATTTGATAATAAATATGATTAAACTTCAAACAAAATATCTACTTCATTAAAGTATTCTAACCAATAGTCAAAACAAATTTTTCAATATAAGAAAAAAATTTATGTCTTTAAAAAACATTTTTCTTGTCTCTCGAGAATAATTAAATAAAAGTAAACAATAAAAAAAATATAAAAATAAAATTTTCAATTTAAATTTTTCAAATATAAAATTTCATCAAAAACAAACAATAACAACAGTGAGAAAACAAATAACTAACCCGATTTTGACAATATCTATCTGACAGATATATAAATTCATGAGGTAAATAACGGACATGGATACTATAAATGAAAATCATACGCTCATATTCAAATCTAAAATTTAGTAAATTTTAAAAAAAAAACAAAAAAATATTTAGAGATCATCGATTCTATATCAAGAGCGTCGATTTGAACGAAATATATTCCGTTTGTCACAATAAGATGTTTAAAAAAATGAATGAGTTAAGTGCTCATGAAACTCAAACGTATGCAAAAAAAAAAGAAAGGTTTTTTTCTGCTCTACTGGATGAATGAATTCCATTAATTTGAATGATCTAATATGCAAAAAAACGACACAAATTCAATTTACGTTAAAAATTTACATGAACATCTCATCAGTAGACGAACGGTTTCGCCTCAGTTTGTCTCTTTCTAGAAGTCAAAAAAATGGTGTTTATTCATTCATTTGAGTAGTTCAATGAATAAAACTTAGTTTTGACTATTATCAAGAAAGAAGAGAATGATAATTATGGACAGGTATTTATGTTTTTGTGAAAAAAAACAAAAAACGAATCCCTTTGTCTAAAACAAAAAAAAAGGAAAAAAAAAAAAAGAAAAAAGAACATCGAAGAAATCGGTTCACTTACGATGGTTCATTGATAGGAAACAACATCATGCCTCGTTTTTCTCTTTCTCTTCGAACCCATCATCACTCATTTATTTATTTTATATTTATTCAAAACTCTCTCGAACTACTTGTCTCGTTTATTCCATTCTTTGTCATATCATTTTCATTTCTCATAGTGCTGATACACTATTAGCTACTGTCATTAGGAACATCATCGGAACGCAGAGAGAATTTTCTTCTTCTTCTTTTTCTTTTTTTTTTTGTGCAAAACAAAAACTGAAAAAATAAAAAAACGAAGAAAAAGTAGAATAGAGAAAGGAAAAACAATACTCATCATACACGCATACAATCGTCCCACAGTTTGCCTTTAGTAAAAAAAAAAAAAAAACAATTAGTTGAACACAAGTATTAAGAATAGGAAAAAGTTTTTTTTGTCTGTTGTACCTTCAAAACGCCACGAAAAATAAAAAAACAGCGTTTTCTCTC